GTAAAGGAATGATCTTGAACTTGGGAATCAGGAAAATCTGAATTTGAATCCAGGTTCTCTTTAATAGCTGTTTGCCCAGGCACCTCTCTGTGCCTAAGTTTCCTCATCTATAAAACTGTAAGAATGGGTCCCAGTGAAGGTTAGAAATAATTAACGTAAATTGAATAGGTACTCAACAATTAGCAATGGTGGTTATTCTTATTTCTGTTTCTTATTTTGCCAAGTAAGAGTGACTTCTTCATGTCTTCCAGTATAAAATAATCTATGCAATTAATTAAGATGTTTTAGACAGCTTTGCATCTTCTACAGAAGGGCCATACATAAAGCCACTTGGGTTTAAGTATTTAAATATAAAACATCACAGAGAGCTTATTCATTCGCTTATGAGGGTGTCTCTATACCTAGTTAAGTAAAAAGGCCAAAAGGGCCTGAACTCCATTTCAGGGAATCCCTGCAGTACTCATGGTTTAACAGAGAAAAGAAATACCAGCTCAGTGGTTCCTAGAGGGGCAGAAATGTCTACCCTTTCACATACGTCAAAAAAGTCAATCTTTTCTCATGGTTGGTTTTTGAATTCCTCTTCTTTGCCTTTGGCGCCCTTTTTTATTTTTTCAGTCCTGGAGTATGACCCTCCATGTCCCTGACCTGTGAGCCCCGAGACTGGGGCCCTGGTTTTGTGGTTCTGCACCCTGCAGCTCCTTGTCCGGGACTCTGCTCTAGTGAGAGCCCTGGGGCCACCTGGCATGGTTCTATGGCTGGCTGGTCCCTCCTGCACTGTGGCCTTTGGAGAAGGCCTCACCCTTCCATGTGTGTGATCCCATTGGTACCTGGCATGTGGCATGAGTACAGTGGTTCCCTACTGAGAAAATGATCTCAACAGAATCTATATGTAAGGGCAATTAACGCATTAAAGTAACACAGCAAAAATTGTTTAACATTGTGACTGAGAAGCAAGTATGTTTTCATTAGTTCAGCTAAATGTTATATTCCTACTTTATATAACAATCGATGCCCCAATTCTTACAAATGAAAATGTCTTCATGTACTATTTGACTTGGAGGAACATGGTTTTCTTCCCTAGTGTTTTTATTTTATTCTATGAAACAAATAAATTGGCACTGAATGTTCTAAGTACATAGAAATGTTTCAGTGTCTGACAAGGTTCATCTGATCAGTGATGCATACAATTTAGCATTATGAGAGAGATTAGCAATTGAGGTATCTCTTTTCTTGCTCTTGGTCTTCCTTTTAAGAATGGAGAAAAAACGCTCGACCTTGCCAAGTAAGAGTGACTTCTTCGTGTCTTCCAGTATAAAATAAAGACCCCTTGCTGACTGCTGTCTTTTGGGATTAACTTCAGGGCTGTTCCTACCCTTCTGTCTTTTCCAAGATGGCCTCTGGGGCCTAGGAGGAGCTCCAGATCTTAGGGCTCCCACTGAGGTGCCTCAGCTTGGCTCTGAGATATCTTCATTGATGTGGCCTGAATTCTTGGCCACCAGGCTCCTACTCAGTCCCTGGGTCATTATGTTGGCTTCTGCTGTTGAAGACTGGGGTCTTTGATGCTTCATCTGGTCACATGGTCTTAGGACTGTGTCTCGCACTGCTTCTCAGCCTTTTGGCTATGATGAAGTGTAGGACTGAGCCTCTTGGCCCCAACTCCAGCTTTATGGGGGACATTGGTTCTCTCATTTCTTCCATGTCTCCACGGCCTGGGGGTACTCTCCTGCCTTCTCCACACTGGTCATATAGGGTCCTGTGCGGCTGCACTCACGTCTGCTGGCCTTGACCTGGACCTTAGCCATTGTGCCTTCACCCTACCTCCTACAGCTCACATGCCACCCTCTGTGTTCTGACAACTGCAAGACTGTGGAAAGGCACATAATCTCTCTAGACTGTGCCTTTTGAACTTTCATTTATTTCTTTCTTTACCAGAAGTTACATTAAAAAATATGTAGTACTCTCTGTCATTTTAAAAGACGTATTGTTCCAACTCACTAGGCTGATTTCATTATAAATCCATGTGTTGCTCTCTGCTATGGACTGAGTATTTGTGTCACCCAAACCCAAATTTCTATCATGAAGTGCTAACCCCCAGAATGATGGTACTGGGGGTGGGCCTTTGGGAAGTAACTAGGTCATAAGGGTGGAGCTTCTATGAGTGGGATTTGTGTCCCTACAAGAAGAGACCCAAGAGAGATGATCTCTTGCTGTGCCATGTGAGGATACAGTGAGAAGATGGCCCTCTGTGAACACGGAAGCAGCTGCCCACAAGACAGCAAATCTGCAGGTGCTTTGATCTTGGCCTTTCAGCTTCCAGAGCTGTGAGAAATAAATTTCTGCTGCTTAAGCCACCCAGTCTGTGGTATTTTATTATAGCAGCCTGAACCAACTAAGACATTGCCCTGGGATAGACTCAAAGGAAGTACAGCTCTACCTCCCAAGTCTTCAGATTCTTCCCTAGTCCATGTAGATGTTCCTGAGTCCATCCTCAGGGTTACCCAAGGGGCAGAGGAGGGACGAGGACGTTTGGTCTCCCCTCTCATCCCTAAATCATGCCCTTTACATTTCTACTCTAGGGTTTACTCTAAGGCCAGTTCCTTTTTTTCCCTTAAATTCTTTTATTGGTACATTTTAGGTATACAATACATTTACATTCATCACTGGGTACTTGTACCTATACACGATGTATCTTGGTTCTTATTTTTTCCCCATTTCCTGTCTTCTCTTCATCCCCTCCACCCTTCCCTATTTACACAGACTTTGTTTCCATTTTTTCCTTTTCTTATAATTTTTCCTTTCCCTTTTTTCCTTTCCATACCCCTCCCACTTTCCCTACCCCTTTGGACCTTTTCTTCCTATTTCACATTATCAATTATTCATTTTAATTCTTATTTACACTTTCAGTTTCTCACATCAGAGAAACTATTTGGTATTTACACACGTGTGTCCTATTTATTTCACTTAAGAGTATGGCCTCAATATGCACCCATTTAGCTATAAATGTCTCTAGTTTCTCGTTCTTTATGGCTGAGTAGTACTCCACATCTTCTTTATCCAGTCTCCAGTTGATGGGCACTTGGGCTGTTTCCAAGCTTTCACTATTACAAACTGTGCCACTATAAACACGGGTGCACATATATTAAGGCCAATTCCTTATACTTCTTATTTTTGTAGCTCTAGGGGTTGAACTCAGGGCCTCCTACATACTAGGCAAGCACTAAGATACATTCCCAGCCCATTTAATTTTTGAATTTTAAAACAGTCTCACTAGGTTGCCCAGGCTGGGTTTAAAGTTGTGATTTTTTTGCCTTAGTCTCCCAGGCAGCTGGGATTACAGGGGTACAACACTGTTCTCAGCTGTACTTTGGTTTTAATTATGTAAAATCAGTTGTGAGGGTTCCAAGAAAGCTCTTTGAACTCCAATAGGAATATTATCTTATCTATTAAAAAAAGTTTAAAAAAACCCAACAAATAACTGTGTTTCTGTGGGTCAGGAATTTGGGAGCAGCTTAGCTGGGTGGACCTGGCTCAGGTCTCTCAGGAGGTTGCAGACAATGTTATCGGTTTGTCTAGGGCTGGAGGGTCTGTTTGCAAGATTTCTCACTCACCTGGTTGTTGGCAGAAGCCCTCAATTGCTTACCACATGGGCTTCTCCATAGGGCTAGATCTTCATGATGTGACAACTCAGGGAGAGTGACCCAAGAGCAAGTGAGAAGGAGCTGTGCTGCCTTTTATGACCACCTCAGAGGGTACACACCCCCACACCCCATACCCCACACCCCACACCCCATCACTTCTTTCTACCCATGAGGAACAAGCAGAGTCCAACTAAAATGCAAGAGGAGAGGAATCAGGCTTCACCTTTGGAAGGGAGTGTCAGGAAATTCAAGGACATATTTTAAACCTTCACAGTAACTAGTATATTTTTTCAGATAACTAATAACACAAGGCATTATATGCTATGTACCACCTGAGTGGGTGCTGCAGACCAACCCAAGAAGGATGAAGAACCAGTTTTCTTTTTTTTTTTTTTTTGGTACCAGGGATCAAACTCGGGTCCTTGCGCTTGCGAGGCAGGCGGCAGAACCACTGAGCTACATCCCTGGCCCCTAGAACCAGTTTTCTTATGCAATCAGGAAGGTTGTACAGAGATGTGTCTAAGTGTATTTCTTGTTACTACCATGAAATACCTGACACAGGTGCTACTTATGAAGAGGATGTTTCATTCAGTCCACAGTTTTAGAGATTCAAAGTCCACATGTGCAGCCAGGGTCTAGGGAGAGGGCTGCCCTTGCACATCATCTCCTGGCACAGCTAGCAGCAATGACATCTTCAGCCAAGAGCAGAAGCAGGGGCTGGCCTTTGGAGGGCAAAGCCCAACTGACCCAAATTTATTCTTTTAGGCCTCATTTCTAGGTGGGTTACTGTCTCCCAGTAGTGGCACCCTGGGCAGCAAGTCTTGTAGCACATAATGCTTGGCAAAGACCCAGTTAGACCATCTCTACATCATAGCAATCTGAGTCTTGAACTGAACGGCAAAGAATGGTAAGTCTAGAAAACTAGAGAGAACCAGGGAAGCACTCCAGTTAACAAAAACAGTGTAAGGTCAGGGAAGGCAATCTCTGAAATTTTCTCTTGCAACACTTGATTAGATTAGACTCTCTCATCCTCACTCTTTTTCCAAATTGGTTTTTATAATTCTACTTTGCCATCATACATTAGAAGTTTGGGTGGAGAGGGGAATACTTCCTAGGCAACAGGATCAGAATAGTTGTATCTATGGAACTGCACATCTCCAGATTTGCGGACTTTGAGCAGGAAACAATCGCTTGGAACTTTGTCCCCTGCCCCCCCCGCCCCCCCGGGAAGAGAGTGTGTTCTATGTTGTAAGAGGATACATAGATGTTGGGTGGCCAAATAAGTGGACTGTGACAGAATTGCCCACCAACGTACATTCTCACAGTAGTAGGGGACTTAAGAAACAGAATCAATAGAAAATATATGTGTAATTATGCAAGGGGATTTATTAGTTAGGCTTCATGATCAGAGGTGGGAGAGTCCACAGTGGATGTCTGTGGAATTCAAGGTGGAAGAATCCACAATGGCTGTCAGGATGGTGTGGACCTGGAGCATCCAGGAGCTGCTCAACTCAAGAAGATGGAGGCCCCGGAAGAGGGATCAAGATGCAGCAGTGGTCCAGTAGTCACCAGTGCAAGTCTGTGTTGGAGGGCTGAAGATACTGGAGACCGATGTCCAAAGGAGATGGTAAAGACTGGGGCTCTTCAGAAATGGGCACACTTACTCCTCCTTTCTTTTTTATTTCCCATCCCTGCTACAAGCCTGTTGGTTGTGGCACCCATGTCAGGGGTGAGTCTTCCCCTTTGAGGGTACTGGCCCGCATGTCAGTCTTCCACAGACACCCCAGAACTGTGCTTTACTAGCCTGTTAGCCATTTATTAATTCACTTAAGCAGATGTATCATGATGAATGGTTGCATGCATCTTCTTCATTACCAGAACTTCCAAACTGCCCACTGCTAATTGGAGCTCTGGTTGCTCAGCTGCAGAACTTCATTGTTTAGCTTTCTAACAGATGTTGGTTACGTCTCTAACTAGGTAAGAGTCAAAATGACACGTGCCACCTTTGGGCCACTCTTAAATAAAACACGGAGATGTGACCTCTTTTCTCTCTGCCTTTTTACTGGGCTAAGATACAGATGAAATGGCAGGTGCTAGAGTGCCCCAAGGATCCAGGACAGAGATCATGAATGATGGTAGAGTTCTCCTTGTCCTCGACTTTCTGCCTCTGAATCATTAAATGAGAGAAAAACAAAACAAAAGTAACAGCAGAGTCCACAAGAAAAGCACACACACTTCAGTATTTCACCGTACTAATAAATGCCTGAAAACTAATGGCCACCACTTTGAGCACCTCTTGTAATTGTAGAGGTCAAAGGTACCTTGTATTAATCTCATGATGTCTCAATAAATTTAGTATTAAAACATATGTACAAATTTTTCTTTTCCTGGTGTATACTTTTTTTTGGCAGATTCTATACAAAGTTTTTCATTTCCTGATGTATACTTCTTTGGGCAGACTCTATACCAATTTTTCTTTTCCTGATGTATACATGTTTTTGGTGGAGTCTGTATATTGTTTTAGATAAGGTATCTTTGGGTCTCTGCCTGAATCTGTATTCAATCTAGAACCTAAGGCTAGTTTTGGATTAGAACTTTGAAGTACTTCTGAATAAGGCAGAGTCATTCTTGAAGAAATGGAAAGGTTTTGCTAATTCAATTCAGGGACTTTGTGCAATTAAATCCAACATATAAACACGGAACACTTAATGTGACAGAATGATTTTTTTTTTTCCCAAAATGCTTGGCAGTGACCAGGTCATCCCAAGCCCAGAAGAGACACTGTGTTTTCAGGAAAGGGCTTGTAGAATCTGCCCTGTATAATCTCATAGCAAAAAAAAAAAAAAAAAAAAAAAAAAATCAAAAGTAAAAGCTGAGGCACAACGTGACCCAGGGGAAATTGACATTACAAAGTAAACGGATTGATCTGTTTAATGTTGTATGTCTGGCAACATTCTATACAGTAAGCTAATCCTCTTATATTACAGCCCCACATGAACACAGGTGCTAACTTAACCTATGTGGCTGGTTGGATCAAAGCTTCTGGTTTCTGTGGGCAGTAATCTGAAGTTCCTTCCTCATGAGACTGTCCGCCCACTTTGGCAGGTTATTTGTGTAAAACCAGAATTTCACAAGTGGAACTCCCAAATTGTTCATCTGGCTCCAGCCACCTTATATTTAGGTTGAAAATTTGTCACAAGACCAGATGTTAACTCCTGTGGTTTCAAAAACCAGAAGGATCTAACAGCACCATTAGCTTCACCTAGAGTGTATTATGAGTGTTTGCAAGCTTGGTATTTCTACTTTATGGCCTGCAAAATGGGGATTGAGAATACATTTATAAGCTGGGAATGAAGATACACACAAGCAATCGTAGTACTCGGAGGATGGCAAGTTCCAGGCCAGCTGGGGGGGGGGGTGTCTGGGGATGAGCTCAGTGCGAAGGCCCTGAAAAATGCATGTATTATATATATGCATAATATATACATAAAATTATACACACAAAAACGAGTAGTTAAGTTGAATACATCATTCTTATTCTGCACTTTTAAACTGTGCTTCGTTTTCACTTTGGATCAAAAGGACGCTGTTATGTTATGTTATCAAAAGGACACTACAATGGCTGGAATGCAAATGGACACACATTCTTAGTTGTCCGGGAGGTAGATCCTCTTATATCTTACTGGGCATAATGAACAGCCGCTAAGGAGGTGGCCACCGGGAGAAACTAATCCAAGTGTAGCACCCGCTAAGCGTGACCATATTTTGGCCCCTGTCGCTTTACGTACTTCGTGCGTTCTCTACCTGAGAACTTTGTCCCACAGCTGAGGCAGAACTGGTGGTGTCGCGCTGGCCTGAGCACCCTGGGGCTAAGAACACGCCCTCGCTGACAGCCGGCCGGCGTCCAGGCTTAGGCAACCTCGGCCGGGGCGCCCGCCCGCCTGGAGCCAGCCTCCTCGCCCTCGGCCCCGCCGTCCCACCCGGACGCTCCTCGGCCGGCGCCCGCCTATGCTCTCGGCTGTCACGAGGGCTCGCCAGCTCCTGCACAGCCTCTTTCCCGGCTCAAGGATGGGCGACTCCGCCTCCACGCTCTTCGGCCCTCAGGGGGCCCTGCCCGGGCGGAAGGAGGCGATTCCCGTAGCGGGTAAGGACCGACAAGCGCCGGGAGTTCGGGCGTCACCGTGGTTGCGCATGCGTGCCGGGGCTAGCGTTGCAGGTCCTTCATTGTCGCCGGCCTCCGGTGGGGCCTAGATCTGGCCTGCGCAGGCGCGCCTCCGTGGGGCGCTGGGTCTGGATTTGCGCACGCGTGACGCCCCCCGGGGATTCTGCTGTCGTGTGCTGCAGCCTTAGCTCCATTTTTCTTGTTTTGTTTTGTTTACCTTTTCGCTTAGTAAGGCAGAACTGAGTTCTATGAAAGAATCTAGTGTGTCCGTTTAACTCTCCTGGAGTGCAGTACCTTGGCTCCGAGATCTGGGCAGAAAGGCGTGGAGGAGGGACGCCCTCCTCTGCCTTGGGTGTGCCGGGCAGCCTGGGGCGCTGCTTCCTCTTCTCTTTGCTGTCGCCCTGGATCTCCTGCAGCGATAATGTTGCGTGTTGTCCCGAGAAGAGCTGGAATGAGACCTAACGGTGCAAACTTCAGTTTTGAAATTGGATCTCAGGCCAGTAGTCTGGCTGATTAACTCCAATTTTCCTAGGGCTGCCGGGCAGTAATGCCTTCAGGAGAAGCTGCCCCTGGCCCTTCTGCTCCTCTGGCTGTTTGGTTGTCAGTTATTTAGGAGGTGTCATTTTAGAGCTGTACTTTTCAAACATTCCAGTCATTCTCATACTAATACTTAAATACAATAAAAAGGAAATACTAGGAAAATGATCACATACTCGAATGCTCACTAATGTTGACTAGCAGTAACATTTTTAAAAGTTTACTTTGAATTTCTGTCATGTAGACATGGCTCCACAAGTACCAGTGTTACTGTATATACCGAGCTTGTGGTCTCACAGAATCAAGGACTGAAGTCTCCAACCAAAAGGAGAAAATTAGGAGAGTTTTTGATGGAAATAAGGAGAATAGCTGTGGAATTTACAGGAGGGGTCCCAAGTGAGTGGCTGCATGGCCCCTCAATCCAGAGCTAGTTATAGATAAACAAAGCGCAGGAATTGCTCAGTTGTTTAGTGGCTACTTAATCACAGGTGGCTCTGTGGATTTAAAATGACCAATTGAAACTCAGGCTAACCTAGTTCTTCACTATGTAGGGTTTAAAGGAAACTGAGGTTTCAGAAAAAAAAAAAACCCTGGTTGTCTGTATTCTAAATTCTTCAGAACTCAGGAGCTTAGTAGGTAGATGGGCTGCATTCCATTTTGCCAGAGGAAGTTCATCCTTGGTGCAGACTTCTAGTTCATTGTCTAGTCTTATATTAATTCTTATCAATATGGCTGGTTATGTAACAGGCCCTTCCCCCGAGCTAAATGCCTTACTCATAAGCTGATTACATAAACTGTTTTCTACACCGGGAGCATACTTTGAGTAGTACAAGTTGAACATCCCTAATCTGAAAATCTGAAATCTGAAATGCTCCAAAATCCAAAACTTTGAGCACCACACTACACCGTAAAGAAGAAATTCCAAATTGGATGTGTCACAGTCAAAACTCAGGTGTGCTAACAATATTGTATATAGCAACCTGCAAGATGTATATGAAATAAGTGAGTTTGATGGTTAGACTTGGGTTCAATGTCCAAGACATCTCATTCTGTTTATGCCGATATGCCCAAATCTGACAAAATCTAAAATCTAAAGGAGCCCTAGTTCAGGCATTTCTGATGAAGAGTACTCAGCCTATATTACCTCATCGTGGTGCTCTGCCCTTATTCTGCAGCACAGGCATCGCTTTGTGGTAATGGGGGGTAGGGTGGGGATAGGGATGGGTTAGGTAGAGTTTGCACTCTTAGATACTAAGTTGGATACTTTTATGGAGCCCAGCACCTTGTCTTATTTAAGACAAGCCTTCTGGGTTCTAATGGTTGCTGTAGTTCATCAGTAACTGCTATAGAGCTGTTGGAGTATTAATGGTGTTTAATCTTTTACATATGACACAATGCCAAAGAAATCTTGCATTCTATTTTTTCCTAAAAGTTCTATTTTTTTTTATCCTTAAAGAATTATTGAGTATAATAGGAGGTCATTTTGGGGGTCATATTGACATAGGACAAATATAACTCCAGGTCTGTTAGATATCAAATGTGTCCAGTTCATGGTCCCACAACATCAAGGAATGAAGTCAGGAACCAAAGGAAGAAGTTAGGAGAGTTTTATTGGAAATAAGGCGAGAATAGCTCCTGGATTTCGGTGGTCACTGAGGCCCTTTGTCAGGGGTAATTTATATAGCAAAGTCACAATGTGACTTTGTGTACAACTTGTGGGTACAACTTGTGCCAAACTACAACCTATAGGATTACAAGTAGAGCCACTTATTTAACATTGAGCCAATATAGAAATGAGTCACATAGCAAGGTACATGAGAAAAACAAAGGCATTTTTGGGAAGGGATGGGTCCAGATGCTTTGGTCATCCACCTATCTGCATTTATTGGACCAGGTGATGCTAATTACAATATAATCTCAAGTTACTGTTTGTCTTTTAGGGAGACATGTAGGCCTGGCTATTTCATCTCTATCTTGAAGCCTGGCTTTTTTTCAGATTTGCCTCGAGCCACTGCTTTTTGTGCTGACTTCCTTGAGGTCCCAGTCACTCTCTGACTGTACGTTAATTCCTATGTAATTTAGCTGCCTGTAATAGTATCATTAATACATGGTGTGAGATTAGAAAAGGTAGAAGTCTTTGGGATTTGAGGTGGTTTGGAAATTGTGTGTCTTCTTTTAACCTAATTCGCTGCTTCTATTTCCTGTGGCACCCCGCCCCCCCAAGATTTCATCCAGTCATCCTCAGCCCTAGAAGTTTATTTATTTTTTACTGCAATTCAGAGATTGAGTGCTGAGAAAAAAAATCCAGATTATTTAAAAGAATATAAACTATATAACTGGTTTATCTAAACTATAAACATATCTTTAGAAGCCAGTATTTATAAATGGATGTTAAAAGCAATGAATGCTGATCTTCTTCAGCTTAGTCTAATCCTTCTCTTTACCTTCTGAAGTATCCAGGCACCAAAGAAAGAATGAATCCAACAATTCTTCAACAGATCTCCAAAGTAGTTCGTGATCAAGGTGAGCTAAAATTTAGTTTAGCTGGGCCAGGGATTTAGCTCAGTGGTTCGGCCACCTGCCTCTCAAGCTCAAGGACCTGAGTTCGATTCCCGGTACCAAAAAAAAAAAAACCCCACAAAATTTAGTTTAGCTTTATCTTGAGCAGTGTCTTCCCAGTATATAAATGAGACTTTTGATAATTTATATACTTCCCGGTATATAAATTTCTCAGTATATGAGACTTTTGATAAAAGATTAACAGCTTTTGTATGATAGAGACAACAATTTCTTTTTCATATTCATACAAAACCTGTAATTGCAAAACTTCAGGCTCTTCCATCTTTTCATAGAGCTGTGCTTGTTTTTGAGTAGGGCCAAGTCTACAATGCATATATCCCCCTTGTTCAACTGTGTTAACTTTTGCCCAGGAAATATCTACACTAAGTCAGTAAGCCAGCAAAACCAGGAAGACGCTGGAAGACCTGTGTCCTGAAAGACCATCTTAAGTCAGGTCAAGTTTCAGGCTCCTTTTGTCCTTTAGGAAAGGTAGAAAAAATAGGGACTTAGGTTAGGAAACAATTGATGACTATACACTTCCAGGTGTCTCTCCAGTGGTCTGGAACAGGATGTTGCAAACCTGGTGACTGGTAATCTGTTGATCTGGCACATAGTCACAAGGTCAGGATGCCCTTGCAAATCATGAAAGTGTCTTAATTATTCTTCCCTTGGTGTCATCAGCCATGAAAAGGGGAGGAGTGAGATTTAGGGAAGTTTTGGATAAATCACCCTTGTACTGCTAGTTTCTATAAGTGATTAATGAAGGGTCTGTGCTCAAAGAGGCGCTAGCTTTTTCTAGTAAAGGATAGAAGTGTGGCTAAATACAAGACAGGTGTTGTGGTTTATATCAAGATGTGCTCGTAGGTGGGGCATCTGGGAGGGGATTGGCTCATGGGAGTGTGATGTTCATGAGTTAGGGTTTTTCCACTGATGAGTTTATAGCTAAATGTGATGTAAGGAGGAGATGGGTCACTGGGGGTGTGGCCTGGAGGGGTCTCTCTCCTTCTGTCCTCCCTCGGTCACTCTATGCTTCCTGCTGCCCTGCCATGAGCAGCTCTCCTCCACCATGCCCCTCTGCCCACTATGAAGTGAAACCTCTACAAACTATAAGCAAAACTCCTTTAACCACTTGACAGTTTACTGAGTGTCACTGGGGCAGTGTGTTTGCTTGCATATTGATGATGATGATGATCATGATGCCAAACATTACTCTTCAGCCCTTCTTGCCCTCCTTATTTACAAAAGCTTTGTTTCTTTTTTTTTTTTTTTTGGTACTGGGGATCAAACTCGGGACCTTGCACTTGCAAGGCAGGTGCCAGAACCACTGAGCTAAATCCCCAGCCCACAAAAGCTTTGTTTCTATTTTATCTTTCTAACCAGTAGATTCTTGTATTGAATACATTTGATAAAATTGTCATTTTAAAATATTTCCTGTCATTTTATAAAAATGAATGAAGAAACTGCAGTTTTGGTCACCCTGTGTTTAAGTAATTGGAGCAGTAAGTGGTTAGGTTGCGGGTGTTGATCTTGGATCTCAGCAGTGAGGAAGTGACTAGACAGTGGAGAGGTGGGGCTGTTCTCTCTGAACCATGAAGATGGCTGCAACCAAAACCCACCCATCAGAGGTATGATCTACAGCAGAGCTGCTAGAAGACTAATAATATACTGCTGTGAGGCCTCCGGAACTCGTGATTTGTAAAGTC